GAAACACTTTTAAAATTCAAACTGCCATATCTCGAAAGTGACAGGCTGTACATTGGATCTTTTTTGTTTAACTACGTCCAGTTTTGTCATGTTCGTTTTAATTTCGTTCGTAAGTGAAATATTAAAGTACCTATAGTAGTCTTATTGGTTGCTGATATCTACGGTTATGCTGAGATTATTCCGCATGACATATATTTTTCAAGTGTTTAAAAAACAGTGAAATATTGTTAAATCAACCTTTGTACTCCTGTTCAACAGTTTTTTACACTAACTTGTATTTAACTGCTTCCGTGGCCGAACGGTTACCTCCATGCTGGACTGCCATTCCCGGGTTCTATTCCCGGGACGGGAGAAATATGTTTGGCTTACATTTATTTCTCTCGTGTGTTTGGGTGTAATTTGTGGTTGTCTATATGTGTGTCCATGTCACCCGCGATACAGGGTTGCCCAAGAGAGATTCCCAAGAATTTAGGTAGTGTTCCTAAACATAATCAACAACTATAAGAATTTATTTTTATCCAATATCATGATGATATTAACTTTTTTTAGACGAACACGAAAGAAAAAATCCTTCGACTGCGAGGATTCGAAACTGCATCTGTGTCAAATCAGGGCCACGGCGATAAAAGTTGAAGAAAACTAAAAAATAAATCTGTAACAAACACTTGAGAAATTTGAAATTAGATACGGCTTTAAAAACGTATGCTACACTCACAAATACACGGAGCGCACAGAATACCTAAAATCAATTAACGCCAGAAGCTCGGTGCACTCTTAAAAATGAAATTTAATTAAAAGAATGGTTAAAAAAAACCGATCACTTAAAATAAACACTCTTAATTAAAATCTTTTTTGTTAATAACTAAGTCAAAGTCAAAGATTATTTATTCCATAGGTAAAATAAATTTACACTTCAAATCGTCACATTTAAGCTACTGCTCGTTCACTACGCTGACCTCTCTGAGAAGAACGAGCAAGAAACTCTAGGGATTGCTCTTTTCAAATAAACTTAAATGCTATGGAATACAGCTTGAATCAAATTTGTGTGGATTCTGGAGCCATGTCGTCTTTCCATACATCTTTATCTAACACGTAGTCTTCAATTTTGTAATATGATTTTTCGATCAAAATATTTTTAATGTAGTTTTTAAACTTAGGAAATGATAAACTTAATATGTGCTCCGGAATCTTATTGTAAAAACGTATACAGTTCCCCATAAAACAGTTGTTTACCTTGGTTAACTAAGTGCACATTTGACTTCCATCTCACCTGATGGAAACTGACGATGAAGTCGATGATGGAGCATACACACCTAAATAATGCCTATTCACTCTAGCCTTAAAAAGGTGTAAGTTACGTAAATTATTCTTTAGGACTAACCAGCTGAGTCTCAGGCGTCGAACGGTGCTGTGTGTGCCCGGAGCGAAGACCAATTATATGCAAAATTCATTTTTTATAAGAGCAATTAACGGAGTACAATCAATCGTCTATTGACATAGATCTGTTCAGTGCTAGTGCAGGTTTGATTTGACGAACGTTTAATAAGCAATACTTTATACATAATTATCTATCTCTCATTATTTTGTTTCCTGTCTTTAAGATGTGCGTGTTGTTGGTTGGGCTATATAGGGTTAAATATTTATCCTTTTTTTTCTTTTCCTTTTTTTCCTGCATTGGCAATTGTACCTTTTCTCAATGTGTGAAATAATATTATGTAGTTTAGATTTCAATAATAATGTTTTATTTGCTGACTAAAAACTTAATAACTTATTTTTTTGTGCTACTTGTGGAGATTTGTAATTAGCATTTTGACTTGTTTCTCAACATTTATTTATTGTTAAGAATTCGCTGTAAATCTTCCTAAAAATAAATAAATAAAGTATAACGTTCAGGGAAGAAGTCTGCAGGCAAGGAATTCCGCTCCATAGTCGTTCGCCATATAAATGTGGAAGCGTAGCGCTTCGTGTGAATTCATGGAATATCCACAACATAGGGGTGGAGCCCCAGCCTACGCCTGGTCCCCCGATGATTGAAAGGCGAAGGCGGAATTAATTCGTGCCATTCTCTTGCACACTCTCCGTGATATATCCTGTAGAAATCTAAATCTACTGTAAGATGTAGTGTGTAGACATGAACGTAATCAATTTTAATTGTACTGAAATATTGTATTGAAATCATTGACTTACAAATAAATGGACGACGGGTCTAATATAAAAACTACGAAAAAAATGTCCCAAGTCAACCTATTTAAACGTAGTGACATGTAAAGGAATATGAAAAAGCTAAAACGTTGAATTTAAATTGTAATGTCATCGCAGTACTGTCTAATTTTGCTTGCTTCGCTATCAGTCGAACAAACGAAGACTAAAGCGTGAATGACGCTCTGTATACGATTTTAACGCCCTATAAGTTCGGACACTTTTTAGCGCGGACCCGACGTCTATATAATTGTAAGTCAATGATTGAAATATAGTAAATAGTAAAATAATGATCTCAGTATAGAGTACTAAAAAACCGACCTCAAAAGTACGTGGAATTACGCTATTTGCCAAGTTTTATTGAAATCGGTTACCGGAAAGTGCGCAAACCCGGATTCATGCCCCAGTTCGCCACTATACTTGACACAGGAGATAATAAAAATCGGTTCTCACTACTCAAGGTATATTGAGAGAGAAAAACGCCTTGAATGGAAGAATAGTCAAATCAACCATTAAAATGATTGCTTCGTATAATAAAATTTAGGCGCTATTTGTAAAAATGAATCTTCATGCGTGAACAGCCACACTTAGAGGTGGATGATTTTCTTCAAAATTAAATGGGACCATTATCGAGGTACCCCCTTTCCAACAAAAAAGAATCATGAAAATCGGTTCACAAATGCCGAGTTATCGCGTAACATACATACAAAAAAAAAACATACAGTCGAATTGAGAACCTCCTCCTTTTTTTAAAGTCGGTTAAAAAACTGATATATCATTAAAATATAACAAAATTTTGTCTCGCCGTGTTTTGTCCATCGGCGGCGTGGGAAGATCGGCGCAATCGGTGCACATATCTAATTTTATCTGCTTTAATTTTCCTAGTTAATTTAACCATATACTATTTAATACATAGTATAGTCACGAATAACTGATCTGGATCCTGATCGCGGCGCAAAGGTGACCATCACGCTTGCCGCGGGAAATAGGCGAATCGGGAAAAACAAGTGGACCGATCGGGAAAGTGGACCAATTGTACCGAAGGGTTTTTTTGCACACACTTATAGCCCCACGCTGTATCGCGGGTGCCATGGAACCACAAACTACACCCAAACTCACGAGAGAAATAAATGCAGGCCATACAAATATTTCTCCCTACTTGGGAATCGAACCCGGGACCTCTGCGTGGCAGTCCAGCATGGTAACCGTTCGACCACGTAGTCAGGTAATTTCCTCAGTATATGGTAATGGACAGTCTTAGCGCCAAGAACAACCGTACATTATACCGGGAATGAAATATACTTATTCATTTCAAAACCACTTTACGACTTAGTTACGTAGTTTACCTTTAAGGTAAAGTTCTGTTACCGACCTAGGACTACTTACTTTGAACTTAATGTTTTATGTCGTATTAACCGGTTATTCCGTATTAATCAGCTGCGGTCAAGGAGATTTCACGGCCAATAGGTTTATTTAAACTCATTTTCCGCTTAGATGCAATAGGAAAAATTTCTATCTATCGTTACTGTGGTTTGTTTAATTAAAATCTCGTTACCCAATGGACGTCGTTAGTTGTAACTATGTCATAAAAAATGTCTCCCCACTAACTGCAGTATTTCATATTTTTAATTGTACCTTTCAAAAACGAACATTGTCCACCAATTGTTACAGGCAGGGCTGAGCAAAATACGTGCTGTTATTTCATTAAAATACAAATGGTATTTTTTATAATATCAAGTTAGCCTGTCCATAACAGTTGCAGTGCCACTCAGAGCTTTAAATCGCAAAGATCTGAATAGCACTGCCACTGCGCCCGTCACCCTGAGACATAAGTTGTCAAGTCCCATGTGCCTGTAATTTCATCAGCACTCTTACCCTTCAAAACCGGAACGCAGTAATGCTGAGATTACTGCTTGGCGGCAGAAATAAGTAAGATGGCAGTACTTCTCTGGACGGACTCTTTCACAAGGATCTCTAATACTAAAATACTTTCTTATACCTATTTAACCCATCTCGCACCGTAGAGACACACTCAGAGAGTCTCAAATTTATGGATGCCATAATACGCACTACGCAGTCTCCAATGCGCTATCAAGCTGCTTAGTGCGATGCTACCCTCCTCCGTCGTCAACTCTGCGTCGAGAAGCCGACCAACGCGCGGTAACGCGAGTTTGGTGTTTGCTATATTTGTTGAATAGGCAAACAAGGCAAATGCTTTGTGACACATACCATCTGCACATGCGATTTTTTGCCAAATATATCAAATACGCAAATACAAAAAATACAAAAAGTAGTTTAGTCTGACACTGTACTTTTTAATTTTCTTTTTAATTTAAATTGGTGACTTATTAATATTATGTACAGTTACAAACCTATTTTATGATTTCACGTTTAGTAGATCCCTCAAAAGACGCTAGATGGCGTTGACCTTTTTAGTAGCAGTAGAGGTCCTTGTGAAGGAGATCCTCCAGGAAAGTTCTGCCGCCAAGCAGTAATATGAGCATTACTGCGTTCAGGTTTGGAAGGGTAAGGGTGCTGGTGAAATTACGGTATTTGTCAACTTAGTCTCAGAGTGACGGACACAGTGACAGTGCCTCTAAGATCCTTACGATTTAAAGCTCTTGGTGGAAAAAAAAAATCATCTGGTTCTCGTTTTCAGTAATTTATTTATTTCTTTAATTTCTTGTCGGAGAACTGACAGACAAACAGTCACTTAGAAAATAAATTTTCAAATTCTGATGATGAGTTCATCATTAAAATTTAGTGACGTAAAATAAAGATTAAAATATTTGTAATTTCAGATCCTGATCGGCATAACCCTGATGGTATGGGTTGTCCAGAAGGCGCGGAAAGAGCTGACAATAGCAATCATGGCGGCCGAATTAGGCCGAGACACGATATCAAGTTCCAGCAGTTCCTCGCTCAGCTAGCCCACGGCCAAGGCATCCACTGATGTGGACAGTGTATCGGATCCCTCCAGCTAGGGTCTACCTCTCGGGTGTATTGGAACCCAAAATGAAGAAACTTATGTGTGAAAATTCATACTATGCACCTGGTACACACCAGACCGAACGATGAAATGTCTTGTGACAATCGCCAGGGGTGTAAAAGCAAACAGGATCAATCCTGTACATGTAGTTGTTAGACAAAGTAAGTTATGTATAAAACACATCGAGTTAGAAAACAAAACTTCTGGAATATTTGTGAAATCTTCAAAATTAGTTTTCCTTAATTGCACCCCCCACTAAAAAGAATCGAGTATAAAAAGTAGTTAATGTCTTTGCCAGTGGCTAGGGTCCAAATAACTACGATTCTTACGGCCTTTTTCTAACAAATTTGTGCTCCAACTATGCTGCACGGTAAGCGTGGGTTATAGCATTTGCTGCGTTACTTCTTGATCAGTTTACGTCCTTCCACCCTTCGCCACTGGTCTGTAAAACCCAGGGGTTTCCAAACTACGGCTCACCATAGTTTATAGTTTACTTTGATTAGTAAGCAAATCGTGCAAAATAATAATCAGAAGTTTTCAGATGTTTTGTACTACTGTAGCTTTGCCACGTTCTGCGATTAACTTTACTCTCCTCAAGATGTCAGTACTGTAGTTTGACGTGGTTGTATTGTGTGTATGACTACATAATGAAGAATGAAGAAATATTATTTGCACCTGTGAATGTTATCCCTTGGAACGCCTTATCCTTTCTACAATAATAGGGAAATAAAACCATTAACACTTATTTTACTTAAAGCCATCTAGTATTTAACCAGAAATAGGAGATGAAGTAAGGGCCATCTATCCCTGGCAACTCATCAGGTAAATGGGTCTTATATCACTTTTAAATATCAACTATCGTTTGCGCTGAAATCACAAATTAAAAAGCTGAAATAGTACAATGCCAACAACTGACCTGTGTGTACGTTTCCGTATATTCCAAAAATATTCTGTATTTATTGTAATTAAGATAATATTTCTAACAATGCGGACTGTTTTATTCGGTGGTGGGGCATGTCGTCTCTATTTCTGGTTACATACTCGATGTTTAAAGCGTACATGGACAAGTGGTCATGGTCCATCGTACGAGTCATGGACGCTCTAAATGCTTTTTCTGAATTCTAGTTTTCAATTATTTCTTTACTCAACAGGTCATTTTTCTTTTTAACAGTGGGTACTTCGCAAAATACCGACTGCGGATTATTTTCTTACAAAGTATTTAAATTAATTGTTCGCAGTATACAGACGGTTCACTCTTTTGTCGTATTGTACGCTAAAGATGAAGCGGTAAGACGAATTGGTGCAAATAATACTTCGCCAACTATAACAATATGTAACGCACAGGCATCGCATCCACAATCTTCGCTCTAATGAAATGTTTTTACCGAAATTACGAGCGAAGCGGAAACCACTCCCGTCGTGTACGAAAATGTGCACGTAATTCAGAACTACAGTATGTTGGAATAATGGGCAATCTAATTGTTTAGTGGAGAAGGCAGTGTGGTCCTTAGATTTATACGTTTGGATACCCCTGTTTTAACATAATCGTTAAAAGTGGCTAGTGCTTAGATTGAATTATAAACGTATCATTTTGATTTACCAAACGTTAAGGGCAGGAATGAGAATAAGCAAAGTATATTTTTCTAAACTTCATTCGCATTATGTACCTCTTTCTGAAATCCCGGAATCGTTGTATTGTATTTTGTTTTACATTTTTCATATGTTTTTACAGCAAATTACTTTACTACGGTAGTGTGTTTAGAAGAAAAGTTTTGCAATCGTAAGTAAAAAATATAACTAAGTATTTCTTTTGACTTTTATTTTTAATCATGGGATTCCAGTGAGAGGTATTATTATTCGCTCCATGTACCTATATTACTTGATAATAATTAGGCAAATATGCTCTACTTATTCCAATGTCTTGACAAGTCGTAAGTTAAAAACAAGCAAGATTTTTACCCGTGGGATGTATAAAGACCCCTCGCTGACAAAAATGAAACAACGTGTGAAAACAAGTGATATTAAATACATAGTTTATGATTATGACATGCCGTTTTACCTCCAAGAGGATCGGAATGAATTTCCCGGGTGATAAAAATATTTATTTTATTAATGTAGAAGTTACGGGCTTATGGCATGTATTCTGTACACATGTAAAGAAGTAAAAACGCTAGAATACACTAATATTCTTTTCAAGCGTGATATAAAGCTTTTGTTTTATTAAATTTATGAAATAACAAAGTTTAAAGGTAAAGCGATGGGAAATCGAGAAAATAATGGAAAATATTTGTAATTAAACTAAGATAAGTATTATTAAAGATTTAGTAACAATAAATTGCAAATGTTTTCGTTAAATAGTCAGTTATTATGACAATTACAGTCTCAAAGAAAAGTGTTTCAAATTACAACTATTTTATCGTGGTGTGGCAAATAATCGTACATATATTGTAGTATCTATAAATAATTGTTGATAACACGGAAAATAGCATTGATCGGAATGAAACCTTGAACTTCATAATCTAAATGCGTAGACGTCATTCGAAGAGTTATTATGTTCATTTATTTTATTGTAAGCTGTGAAGCTTATAATTGACACGTACTGGGAGTCCCAGCTCCACGTCGTCATATGATTAAAAAAATTGTCGACATGCCTTATTTTTCAGTAATTCTGACCTTACTTAATTAAACTAGATGATTTAAAATATAGATTAACGGTGCGGAACAATGTGCATTCGCCATTGTAAAATGTATTTTTCATTACAATATTATCTCCCATTGATCTTCCAAATGTTCATCCAGATGTTACTGCCTTTTTTTTTATAAAAAAAAATATTTCTCGTTTATGCGTGGCATTTTGGAGCCATTCCAACAATCAACTGAGATATAGGATTACTTTGTTAAAATATAATGTTCTGTTTTAAAATTATTCCGCGTTTATAAATTCATTGTGGCTCATCGTATAAAGCAGGATAGCTTAGTAATATGTGTGTGAATGTTAAAAAATGCACTGAAGTTATGGGAACCCTATTTCAAGATTTTTTTATGTTACCAAATGACGAGACGAGCAAGTCTAGTACGCCTGTTGGTAAGCGACACGCCTTTACATAACAGTTGCAGTGCCACACAGAGCTTTATATCGCAAAGGTTTCCGGGGCACGGCCACTGCGCTCTGAGACGAAGTTGAATAGTTCCGAGTGCCTGCAATTTCACCAGCACCCTTACCTTCAAAACCGTAACACAGTAATGCTTACATTACTGCTTATCGGCAGAAATATTGAAGGTGGCAGTACATCACTGGATGAACTCAGTCACAAGGAGCTCCACTGCTGTAGGTACTAAGTTTCATGTTTAATTGCTTATAACAAATTTTTTATATTGTGTTCTCAAGTTTCCAATACTGTTCCTAGCACTCTACAATGACCAAGGTTTCCTTACCTTTGCAATGATCAAATTCTTACGAATCATAAGTGATAATTTGCCGCACACGTTATCTCCATAGATAATCACCAGATAAACTATCTAACTGGTAAAATATACCGAACCAAGGTCCACCAAGTAACGTTATGAAATTAATGATCGATACAATGCAAAAATGTAAAATATTATACTTATATCTGTAAACATGTTAAGTAAACGTGGTAGTGATGTACATAGTAACGTCGTTTTTTCATCGTGCAGATGTAGAAAATATGTATTTTTCAAAAGATTTTTCTGTATATTCAAACATTTTTGGGATATTGTATCTAGAAATGTGATAGTATTAAAAAATGTTGCCAAATCTTAAGAGAATGTAAAAAGAGGTTGACAGCCAGAAAAGAAAATGAGTGACCTCATTTTGTTTGTGACTGTACCATATGCGTCCTTTTGATGCCAACGTATTAAAGAGTTATTAGTAAAGTATTTGGCATTTATTCTTATGACATTGAGACTAGAGCACCGTCAAAGTTTGCAAAAAATATTTTTAATCGTATTGAATTATCTAATTTTTAGTCGTATTAAATTATATAATTTTTAATTGTATACTGATTAATTGTACTGAACGGCGATTGAATTTGCCCAGTTTATATTTAATTTTGTTGTTACCTACTAATTAATAATAATGTTTTCTATAATCTACTTAAAATATGAATTTATTATGTGTGCTGGGAAATGTGGAATTATATCTTAATTCTTTAGTCACAATTAATCGTTAAGTACATGGTTTGCACTTTGCACATAAATAATGTTATACAGTGTTACAACAAAGTGCGAGAGTACCTATCATCCCTTACAACAAAAATGGCAGTAACTTATAATGTAATTAATTATACATCACAACACTGAACGTCAAATGTTTAAGTTATATCCATTCGTATTATATATTGATCGTAGTTATGTTAACAAACTTCTATAACCAGTAAATTAATTTGGAATTTGCGTTTTTTATATAGCTTTAGTGTTGCCAGATGGTTACATTTCTCAAATATTTCGTAACTTTTAAGAAAGTATACATTTTTAAAATTCAATTACATTAAATTGTATGGAGTTCGCGAATTGGCCGTTAAAGTAACACAGAGAAAACAAAGTGAAATCTATCAGATACTGGTTAAAGCTTAATGTTTCTAGAGCGTATCAACTTTTATTATTTATACATACTAACGTTTATACTTGGATGAAAATGCAACTTTTGCAGGTTATATTGTAACGAAACATAACTTTCTATTCAAGAGGCCTGGCAACACTGGTTGTTTGTTTTTGAGCACATTTTTGTTACACTTTAGAACTGTGTCGGTCGATCATTTTTGATAACCCGGGTCAATGACCTATGCGTAAGGTGATTGGGTTAAATGATTTGACACAACACACACTTAGGACACTACAATTTCTTTCTAGGAAAAGTAACACCTACAAAACAAAAATACAAAACAAAAAAAACTTACGGGCATTCAAAACTACTAATTATTATTTATTAATATTTTAAGATTAGCTAGTGCGCTCATGAATAAACACAACATACCGATAAAAATAGATTAAACTTACAAAATTATCATGTAATGGACACTACGCCACGGAGCAATTAGGATGAATGATTAGTAAACTCATTGATCCGTTGATCCATTGACTCGTTGATCGATGGCTTAACTTTTGGTTCGATCGAACAAAGGTTCTATCGAACGAATGCTCTATCGAACAAATGTTCGACTCAAACGTAGAGTGAGAAAGCGAACTGTGCCGTGCGTGAAGACTTCACATGAGAGTGAACGAGACAACAATCATTGTGTAAATTGTTGAATAATCTCTAAAATTATAGTGGGACAGTCGAATATTGCGCGCATGACCCATGAAACTCTAAAATGATCGGGTTATTTAGAAGTTAGAAACCTAGGTTATCGGGTCACATGTGCTGTTCGAATCATTTTGATACGATCGATCGACACACGTCTATAACACTCACAAAATAGATCTTGATCTGTTTTCACTCAAAGGAAGGATCACTACGTCCAAGGAATAAACATTTTGTACGGGCTGCATGGTGACTTTGCATATTTCCAAAACTTCCATAAAAATCACATTGTCTAAATTCCGCAGTCCTGATAATTTGCAGATAACCTAAAAATACCTACTAAATGCTGATAATTTGCTATTTTCATAATAATGGATATTGGAATGGACTATAATTTAAATAATTATGAGATCCGATAATGTTCTCAAGGTTAAAAATGTTACCTAATGTTTTTGTAAATAAAACATCTGCAAATACTGTAATGAATGTTGCCAAAGTATAAATTAAGAACGTTATCGGCACTTTGCCGGTTTTCTAAATGAAACTTATATGTTCAGTGATTGGTTGGTGACATCGA